TATGAAGCATACATCATGATTACAGATGAGTTACAATGAGTTACCACTTCATACCCTTTAGTAGGACAACTATCAAATATAACAACATTCATGAAGATGTGGAGAGATAGGACCCCTTACACTCTTCCAGTGGTCATGTAAATGGTACATTCACTGGAAAACAGCAGGGCACTTACTCTGAAAGCTAAATACAGAGTTGCCATGTGGCCTGGCAGCGTTACTCCCAGATATACATCCAGAAGAATGGAAATCAGGGGCTTGAATAAATTCTTATATGTTAGTATTCACAGTAGCATTGTTCACAGTAGCCAGAAGGTGGAAACAATCCAGTGTCCATCAACACATGGATGGACAAACAAAATGTGGTCTCTATGGACAGTGGATTATTATTCAGCCCTGAAAAGGAATGAAGTTCTGAGACATGCTGCACTATCAGTGAACCTTGTACACATTTATGCTAAATGAAGGAACCTAGACACAAATGAACAAATATTCTACTTATAGAAAACAACTACAATAAGCAAATTCATAGAGACAAAAGGTAAAGATTAGAGGTTAGCAGAGGCTGGGAGTGGGAGAAATGGTGACTTATTGCTTAATGGTTAGAGTTTCTGTACTAGATTGGAGTGGTGAAAAAGTTTTGGAAATAGTGGTGATGGTTGCACAACATTATGAATGTAATTAATACCACTGAATTGTACACTTAATAAAATGACAAATTTACCCTGGCTGGTGTGGCTCAGTAGATCGAGTGCTGGCTTGCGAAACAAAGGGATGCTGATTTGAATCCCAGTCAGGGCACATGCCTGGGTTGCAGGCCTGGTCCCCAGGAGGGGATGCACAAGAGGCAACCACACAGTGATGTTTCTCTTCCTCTCTTTCTTCCTCTTTTCCTCTCTCTCTAAAAATAAATAAAAATCTTAGAAATCCTTTAAAAAATAACAAATTTTATGTGACATATGACCACAATATTTTAAAATTTATAATGTAATATGTCAAAAGCCATTGAATTATATACTTTAGATGGATGGATTTTATGGTATGTAAATTATATATGAATAAAACTATTTTTAAAAAAATAAACAAGTAATGAATGCCTTTCTTCTCTGTCCTCATAGGTTTGTTCATTACTTTTTTTAACTTACCAAGGACGCAGAGGTTAACACAAATAAATCAAAGTTGGAGGACACAGAAATTTGAATCTTAGTTTCAGGATTTTAAAACTTTGTGTAACCCTGGGCAAATTAACTTTTCTTAGACTCTTATAAGTAAAATGAGACCAGTAATAACAATCACACCTCTAATATATTGCTTACATAAAAGTATGTTTTATGTCAGAGGTCTATTTCTATCCTAAAGAACTTGTATTACCTAGATGCATTTTATTTTAGGACAAAATATAAAGTAAGGAGGAATTCTTAAATTACAGCAGTTTATAACCTTTGCATCTTACGAGCCAGGCATATCGCAGAAACATTAATCATGTAACTCATGTTGCCCCGGCTTCCTCCAGTTATCTTTACTTGGTTACACAGATTGTTTCTGTTTTGTTTTGAACCTAACAGTTTATTTGTTGGAACTGTACCTCCTATTTTCTACCTAATATTTTGCAGACAGCCCTGAACGAAATTAATATTCTTGCGTGTCATTATAGATACTTGGCCTTCTTTATAGCACTTTATTAATACCTTTTGTCTTCTAAATTAATTTGATTTTTCAGTTCTTTTTTTTTTTCTTAACACTTGAACAAATTATTTATCTAAGGAACATTTTGTTACAATTGTTTTTGAAATAGCTTAAGTAATATATTTAATGTCAGAATGAAAGTGTAGTATAAATAGCTACTGCGTCATATTCCAGGCTCAAGAGCAGAACCTAAACCAGGAAATCCAAGAGAGAGAATTTAATACAAGGAAATAGTTGCAGAGATGCTGAAAGAGTGAAAAACAGGAGTAAGAGGTGACTCAGAGTTTAACAACTGCCGGAAACCTAAGACTTAGAGAAGGCAGCAGGATCCAAATACTCAATGTGAATTGGAACCTTAGAGGAGAGGCTATCTGGCAAGAACAGGCGCCGTGGAGTAAACCTAGCTACTGAAAGGGAGAAATGGGAGTAAAATTGCCTGTCTTCTTTCTTTCTCTTGACCTTGGGCTCTTGACAGTATCTTCCTGTGTGTGAGCCCTTCTGGAAACCTGAGGCACAGGAGGCTGGAATATGTAATTTGAGAGAGGCAGCTTGCTGGGTGCAGAGCATAGGAGGACAGAGTGCAGTAGGGAATGGGCCTGATGATAGCAAGGTGTCAGATGAACAGGACAGTTCCCCCACCTGTGTTGCTCTGGGAAGTTGTGATGCACACAGGCAGCAGCAGGGTCCACCCATAGATCAAGGTTAGCCTGTATTTTTGTTTAACTTTTTTTAATCCTCATCCGAGGATATGTTTATTGATTAGAGAGAGAGGGAGGAAGACGGAAACATCAGTCAGTTTCCGCCTGCACATGCCCTGACCAGGGATCGAACCCATAGCCCCCAGTATGTGCCTTGGCTGGGGATCAACACAAGGCCAGGGCTGGTCTGTATTTTTATTTACTGGCTGGTTTAAGTTGGATTCTCTCAGAAGCAGATCTTGAGCCAGGCATTTGAGTGAAATGAATTATTAAAGGGAACCTTTCCAGGAGAAATAAGTGAGGAGCTGTGGGAAGCAAAATGGGATGGAAGGGAGGAGTTTCTGGTGAACCCAGCCCATTTGCAGCCTGATCCAGACGCAGCCCTAGAGTGTGTGTTTGCAACTCAGAATTGTTCTCATATTGAGCCATGGGTGCTAGTTTTTTTAACCTGGTCTTCTTCCTCTTGCACCACTAGCTATTGGGTGCTAGCCACATCTGCTATAGTAGATAGCAGAGCAGGGTGGTTCTCTGAAGAAGTTTGCTCCTGGGAGTCCGTAGCACCCAAAGCACTCAGAAGCTGGGACACAGCAGAGGTGAAGAGTTTTACAGGGAGGGAGGGGACCGGAACCACCCAGAGTAGCCGTGCCTTGTGACAGTGATAGTCACCGCAGTTCACTTTGCTTGCCTGCTCTAAAATTATGTCTTTTTTTTTTTTTTTAAATCTGGTGGGGATTTTTACAATTTGAAATTTTTGTACAAAAGACATACTTATGCCGATATTTTTATGTGCCACTGTATTTTTTATGAGGTTATTTGAGGTGAGGATTTAATATTTCATACCCCCTGCATAGTAAGTTTCTATTAAACATGTGTTTTTCCATCTTGTAAGTATTACTTTTCCTTTTTACTGACTCAATCCAGGTAGTGTCCTGATTTCTGGTTTTTCATTGTGGAAATTTACCCAACACTAGTTCTTCAATAATGTCTAGCCATATACTACCATTAGCTTCATTGAGCTGTACTCTGGATCTTAGTGTTTTTCCTGGTTTGTCTCTAGCCAGTTAATGAAATCAGTTTCACTGTTGCCTGTTGTTCTTTATTTTTAAAAAAATGTCTTGTTATAGTTCTGAAAATCCTGATTAAATATTTCTTTGAGTCATAATGCTTTAATTCTTCTTTTTTCTTTCTTATATCTGCTGTTTTCCATAGTTGCAAGCTTTCACACATGACATACTCTTTGGCTTATCATTCTAACAGTGCTCAAAACACCTACTTATAATATGTTTAGTCTCAACATCACCACTTACTACTGTAATTAGGTATTACAGTAGTAAGTAATACACAAAGTGGCTTTGTTTTTTCCCTTCCCATCGACATCATTTCTGACCTTTATTAAGTGCTTTATATCTCTAATAATGAGGATACACAGCTTAAATTTAAACCTTCCTGTTTTTCTTTGTTTTCCTCTAAGTGGTAAACTTGTTCTGTAAAGGTTCAGAAAATAACTTTTAGTCGTTGTAAGCTGTAGAATCTCTGTTGCAACTAGTCAGATCTGCCCTTGTAATGCAAAAGCAACCACAGATAGTATGTAACCTAAGGAGCTTGGCTGGGTTTTAATAAAACTTTCTATATGGACACCAAAATTTGAACTTCGTATGGTTTTCACATTCATGGGTCTTCTTTTGATCAGATGTAGAGTTTTGATTTTTTTTCCTTTGTAACCAATTAAAATACAAAAATTGTTCTTGGCATGGGCCCTAGAGTGTCCACTCCTGCTCTAAATCCATTGTTTTTGGTATTTTCCTCTTGCCTACCCTGATTACTGGCTATCGTTACCTTAATCGCGTTACTAATTATAGAGTCTGCACCTTGCAGCAGGGGAAAATGAAAGGAATCTTTAATCATAGTAAAGCTAAAATAAGTGTTAAATGTCAGCCACTCTTTGAGCCTCAGAGGTTTGAAATTCAGTGACATAGAGTCTAAAAAGTATTTGATGGGAATCTCTTAGAAGATGATGTGTTGTGAATTGTGTACAGTATTTATTGAGTAGCTACTGGGAATGATATGCATTTAGTGTAATATTTGTGTAACGTATAATTTACAAAGTACTTTCCATGCATATCATCTCACTTGATTTTCACAAGCTTAAAGATTTTATTCCCATTTTTTAGATGAGGAAAATACCATGAGAAGTTAAGTGACTTGCTTAGGGCCCACAAGTAGTTAGGGAGTGGCAAAACCAAGGCTTTGTTTTCATTGAACACTCAAAAGAATTTTAGAAATAAAAAGTATAGCATCGTGTTTAATTTTATCATTTACAAATGAGAAACCAAAAATCCAGTGCTAGTAATTCACAGAGCACACTCTTGGGAACTAACCTCCTCATTACCAGGCGAGTGTATTTTCTCTTAGGTTGTGTCTAACATAGAGGCAACTAAACTGAAATTTTATTAATGGTTTTGATACTTTAAGATAGAGTTCTTTAAAACTCTACTTTTAAAAGTACAGAGTTATATTTCCATTAGCATACAAAATATCCAGCTGTGGTTTAAATGAGGGGACCCAGATTTCAGTGCATGTGGGACGGATGCAGACCTGGCCTTTTTTCCTTTGCAGCACCGGCACTGGATGTCGACTGGCAGAGCAACAACACCTTCGCTTCCTGTAGTACAGACATGTGCATTCATGTCTGTAAATTAGGACAAGACAGACCTATTAAAACATTCCAGGGACACACGGTGAGAAACATTTTTTTGCCTTTAAAGTGATTGTGATGAATAAGTAACATTTCAGAGTGGTTTTGAAGTATGAGTAACCAAGTCCATCAAATGAAAATGTGACTATTTACTCTTGTAATGTGAATACTGTTGTTTTTAGAATGAAGTAAATGCTATCAAATGGGACCCAACTGGCAATCTTCTGGCCTCCTGTTCTGATGACATGACTTTGAAGGTAATTTGGATAATGGGGAGAAGTGGGATGGAGAACATCTCCATGAGGTGTCGCTGCTCAGGCTGTTTGAACACTGTTTCAAATATCTCTTCTTACAGTTCGTTGAGTACTTAAACCTTGTTTTTTATGTTTTCTTTTGTGAAGTATTTCAAATGCTTGACTATAGCAAATAAATTCCCTGAAAAGGATGGCTGCATGATGGGAATTATGATACCTAGAAACTGTCCTCATTATTAGAAAGTCTTATATCAGTGCAATAAGTGTATTTGCACATGTGAAGATTTGACTGATAAGTTACAAACATCTCTGCAACATTCATGACTTTCAGATTCTGTACATTGTATGCATTTGATTTTGCTGTGGTGTTCACGTGTGTCACTGTTGCCCAGAAACTAATAAGGTAGCAGAGAATCACTTACTGGGTGGGTGAGCCTAATTGACATGCCAGTGTCCACACCTCAACATGAGTTTACATTTTTCTTGTTGTATGACTAGAAGCAAAACTAACACCTCTGCACATCATATACCACAGTTAGAGGGAAAACACATTGTGATATAAAGAGCAACCTAATACTAACCTCCAAAATTAAAGAAGCCCTTTCCTGCAATACACTAATCACTGAAAATAATTTTATTCTTGACTTTGCAATGCCGGTGACTGCAGACACGATGACCTTTAGAGCTGGCATAATCATTAGGGAAAACTGCTTTCCCTCCTTCCATGAACAGACTAAATGTGACCTTGGTAACCTGGTAGCTTATTTTCCTTAAATACCTGCTCTGTCTTTAGTTAGGTGGTTTTTCTCAAGCATGGGCTTTCTTGTAAACAATTCTGGTAAAGATGCTTTTCTAGCAATGTAAGTTTTTTGCTGTTGAGCTGTAGGAGGAGTTCCTTATATTTTCATGGAATTAGCCCTATACTGGATATATGCTGTGCAAATATTTTCTCCCATTTTGTAGGTAGCCTTTTTATTTTACTTTATTGATGATATCCTTTGCTGTGCAGAGGCTTTTTAGTTTTATGTAGTCCTGCTTGGCTTCTTTTCACTATGGTTGCCTATGTTTTGTTTTCAACATGAATCTCATTACTTTATTTGTAAGTTGCTTATCTGTTTTCTCTTGCAAAATATTTCTTGATTTAAATTCTAATTGCAATTTATAATGTTGATCCCTATTTAAGGGACAGCATAAAAACCAATGCCTTAAACATTTTAGAAACGTTATGCAAGGAGCTTTATGAATGTTAGTTTATAGCACCTAAAGCTATTAAAAATAATCTTAGAACTACAGTTTATTCAGTCCTGAAGCCTCACAATAGTGAATATTTGGAAAGGACTGTCATTTAAAAAAAATAAATATTAAATATATTCTCCATTTTAATTTCTTTCCAGATATTCCCTTGATTTCTATAAACATTGTTTTGGTTATACCACTTATATTTTGAATTGGTAGTATACCTTTTGTATGGAAAAATAATTATATAAAAATTTTTTTTTGCTTAGATATGGAGTATGAAACAAGACAATTGTGTCCATGATTTGCAAGCACATAATAAAGAAATTTATACTATCAAGTGGAGTCCAACAGGGCCAGGGACAAATAATCCAAATGCCAACCTTATGTTAGCAAGGTAATATTTGTGTTTTATTCTTTATTTTATTAGTCTTATACAAGTGAAACTTACAATAAATGTGACAGAAAATTACAGAAGAGTCCATGAAGTGGGAATGTATCCATCTTACAAGGAATATTTTTTTTAATGGGCTTTTAAATGGAGTTTCATTATTTCAGGTCATAATAGAGTTTTTTTCTTGTTCTAGAGATATCAGATATTTTCTTATGATTATTCCAGTAATTGAGGCACAGTACAATAAAATTTTTCTTCAACATTATAAAAAGCTATAAAGTTAAAAAACATAGTCAATACTGTATTCAAAACCATGGATCAATATAAAGGAATTATTTAACCATGGATCAATAAAAAGGAATTATTTAAAGGGCAAAGGAATACAGTGGGGGTTAGCTCATTTATGTTTTCCAACTCAGGACTTGGAGATGTCCTGATGCTGCCTCTTCTCAGTGTGGGTTTGTTTCTAGAACACCTTCTTCCTAACAGTCCAGTCCGCTGCTCAGAAGGAATTTGTGGCTAGCTCTTAGGAATGGTTGAAAATTTTACATCAGGGGTGGGCCTAGGACTATTTCATTATTTATAAAATTATATCTTTTCCTTCTTCCTGTCAGTGCATCCTTTGACTCTACTGTTAGATTATGGGATGTAGACCGAGGAATTTGCATCCATACTTTGACAAAACACCAAGAGCCTGTGTACAGTGTAGCTTTCAGTCCTGATGGCAGGTATCTGGCAAGTGGTTCTTTTGACAAATGTGTACACATCTGGAACACACAGGTATGTGCAAGTTATTTTATTTCTTTATTTTAATTTTTAATTAAATTTATTGGGGCAATTGGTTCATAGAGTCATATTGGTTTCAGGAGTACATTTCCAGGACCTGTGGGCTGTATATTGCATTGTGCCCACTACCTGAAGTCAAGTCATCTTTCGTCTCCATATATTTGGCCCCCTGAGCTATTTTGAATAGTCAGTATTGTTATATTTAATAAGAAGCACCAGCCTGTACAAATTTTCCTTTTCTTTTTTGGTTATCAGTGTTTCACCTTGGTGATATACTTAGGGTTGTCTGTCTGGGGAGGTATTTACCAGGTACATGTCTGGCTGACGTGTTGTTTTAGGTGGGTCTGCTACCTCCAATTTGACCTGTTTGGTTACCATATTTTTCTGTGTATTAATGTTCACTTTTTAACCCAAATTTTTAAGGGAAAATCAGGATGCACATTATACATGGGTAGGACTAATTCTGTATCTATATAAATGGTTTTAATTTTTTATTTAGGCTTATGTGATACAAGTGTAACTCTAGAAGCAGTAGCATATTGGTATGCAAAATAATACACTGGAATACGATGATGCAAAAAAACCCCAAGTATCCAAATATAAATAAGTATAAAAGATTGAATTAAAAAATTAAAACAAAAATTATGTTTTTCCTGAAAGCTTGGGCCAAAAACATGTGAGTGCATTATATATGACAAAATACGATGAGAGATGATTTCCTGGTTTGTCAGGGCAGAACTCTAGAGGGATATTCTTCATTGTTTTCCAGTTTCTCACAGCAGAACCTTTGACCTTTGCTCTGCTTAATGACTAGTTTGTTAGGACAGTACATTTTTGTATTGAGTTTTTAATTATTTGCTGGCAGTTGAATGATTTTGGTTTTATTGCTGAAGGAATAAAATAATTTAGTTATACTTATGATTCAGCTAAATTGATGATGAAATTGTTAGTGTTCCTAGTTATACTTTTAAAAAATTTTATATCATTTTTCAAGAATAATATATGTATGTTCTTTTAGCTTCTACTGTAACTCCTGTAGCTTAGGAGGCTATTCAGTTTAATATAGAATACCTAACAGACTCACACTGAAATTGTCTTTACTAAGTTTATTATGCTTCCTCTTTAGGGTGTTTGACAAAGAAATGTTGACTTAATTTTGTTTGTTTGCATGTTGACCAAACTTATGCATCTTTCAATAACATAATCAAAAATTTGTTTCGAGTCATACATTGAATGTTCACTTCTAGCCTTTAACTGTGTCAAAGAGGCCAAAGATACCTTAGCTAGGAATGGTTGTCAGTACTGGAGAAACTGAACGTGTGTGTGAATGATCTCTTCAGAGCAGACTGGTGTTACCTTTTCATGAAAAGATCATCAAATCACATTTCTAGTAGTTTTTTTTCTATTTTTATTTTTTAAAGATTTTATTTATTTATTTTTAGAGAGAGGGGAAGGGAGGGAGAAAGGGAGAGGAACATCAATCAGTTGCTTCTCTAATGCCCCCCTAGTGGGGACCTGGCCTGCAACCCAGGCGTGTGCCCTGACTGGGAATTGAACTGGTGACTTTTCACTTTGCAGGTCGGTGCTCAATCCGCTGAGCCACCCCAGCCAGGGCTCTAGTATTTTAGAACTTGCATTTATTTTGGATTTGAAGCTAAGTCCTACCCTTGATTGTTGGAAATAAAGCCTTATAATAGTCTTTCCTCAATATGTTAATATTTATAAAATTCTGTTTTTCATTTTTTCAGACAGGTGCTCTAGTTCACAGCTATAGGGGAACAGGTGGAATATTTGAAGTTTGCTGGAATGCAGCAGGAGACAAGGTTGGAGCCAGTGCATCAGATGGTTCAGTAAGTGTTACACAGTGTTTCCAAAGGGGTGGGGTGGTTAGGGGGGTGTGTGTGTGTGTGTGTGCACGCGCATAGTGAATAAATGCAGCTTAGTGTTCTTTTCAAAATAAATGTCATGATATGGTATTGATCTTTTTTTACTGAAGGCAGTAGACTTTTCATGTTCATTTCATTCAAGTAATGTAAGCAACATTTAGGCTACCTTTGCCAAAAGAGTGTCTTCATAGTCAAGAAATGGACAGTTATTTTTAGAGTAAACATTTATTAGTGAAGTTAAGTATAGCCGAACACCACTCCGAGAGATTTTAATTTCCAGTGCCTGTTTCTACTTTTCCTTCCCTGCAGAAAAGTGTTGGTGGCCTAGGGAGGGGCTAATAGATGCAGTTGGGTTCTGTATCTGAGGGTGTGTGATCCTGAGAACCATTGAGGATGAGATTGGCCAGCTCATCACAGAAATGCCAGTTACGGCTTCTAAAGCTGTAAAAGCAAAGGGAAGATGGAACGGGGACAGTCATTAGCTAGTTACTGAAGCTGTGGCTAAATGTGATCTGTAGTGTCTTTTGTTAAGACCCAAGAGACCGGAAATGGTCTATTTTGAGTGTATTTTTTCCTGCTTCCTAGTTAACAGAGTACTGGTAAGTCTTCAAAATTTTAACCTAGTTCTTCCTCTGTAGTGTTAGCCCATCACTGTTTCCTCCGGTCACTTAAACAATTTATCTGATTTCTGTTTGTTAAGTGCCCATTGCTGTGGTCACTGTTGCTTTACCAGTTTCATGAACTTGGCACCAAGAAATAGATTTCAAACTGTACTGTAGAAAAGTTAAGCTGAAAATGTACAATGAAGTTCTTAACATACTGGTTGATTATTTAAATTTCTTACAGGTTTGTGTATTAGATCTTCGGAAATAGCGCTACTAGTTGGAAGCCATGGACCGACTATGAATGTGTACATAGCCAAAACGACTGTCCCTGACCCGTGACTGCTATAGTCCCACTCGAACCATGGCCAGTCCACTGCAGCCAAATCTAACAGAAATATATACATACAGTGTATATAAACAAAATTGCACCCTGAAGATGACAGAATTTTGTCACAGCTTGTGAATTCTGTTCACCAAGTGCTGGAATCTAATCTGCTGTGCCCCTAAAATAGCATTTAGAAGTTTGGGATATGAAAAACAGAAGAAAGGAATATGCATTATAAAAGCAGCCCGTACATGTACCGGTTTTTTGGATACTAATGACAGCCTTGTTTCTCCCCTTTGAATCAGCAGACACCACGGATTATATTCTTTTTTCCCATCAGTAGTTAAGCAGTTGAGAGTATGTATGTACAGAGAAAATGGACTTAACAAAAACCTGCAGCAGTAGTTTGTCCTTGCTTTTAAACTTTGTTTTTGGTTTAGTTTATGGATGCATGAAGTAAGGGAGTGAATCAGTTTCTTGTTTATATTTTTTTTCACCTTTTAAACAAAAAATTCTTAAAAAATATTTTAATGCATTCTTTTGAAAAGATAAATGTTTGGTACATTTTATGGCTCCCAGAGCATATATTCAATTGGTGCATGTTGTGGAAGGGGAAATTCGAAATTAAATGAAAACACATGACTTCGGTCGTGTCAATTTGTAAGACACATCAGTAAAAGGGTATTATGCTCTGTTTTTTGTTTGTTTTGTTTTGTGGGGTTTTTTTTGTGATGTGGCTTAAATACAGTAGTTTCTTTTTTGGGACATATTTCTGCCAATGAGAGACTAGAAGGGCACAAAAGTTTTTTTTTTAAATACCATAGAGAAGATGCATAAAAAATCTTCTGATGTTTTGTAGCCATAACTAAATTATGGTTAAAATGTGCACTATTGTGAAGAGGAGCAAAGTAGGTTTGGGGTTTTGTTGTTTGTTTATATGTTTGTTTTTGCTTTGTTTTTTAAGAGATTAAAATGTTTCTGGATAAGGATTAGCTTCTTCAAGTGTCCATCATTCTGTGTAGAAGCTTAAATATGTAATGTAATGAAACTCCAGTATTAAAAATCTCTCAATTATTATTTTTTATACAAAGCAAGATAACGGCATATAACACTGCCATTACATGGCAAAATGTTAGCTACCTTAGTTTAAAAACAATCTTTAAAACAAAAGACTTGCTTCAAGGTGTTTTTAAATAGCAGTCATTCAGAGTTTTTCTTTTCTTAATACAATTGCACTAACCTCCCTGCTGCTCTGATTCTGCATTTGTGGTACTTGTGACTACATTTTTTTCAAATATAGATAAATTTAAGCTGCTATTTTTTCCCAGTAATCACTACTATACCATGTCTTTTACTCTGTTGATGACATCAAGCAGTTCCTTACGGATGTAGATTCTAGATCCCACTTCCTCTTGCGCTCATGCCGCGAAGAGCAGACATTCACAGGACGTGCGAGTGGGAGCAGAGTGGCCGCATGGCGCTGCGTGCAGGACCGACAGGCTGTGTCGGGGCAGCCGGCTGTGGAGAAGATAGCTGTCAAATTTATATCTCAGAGGTTTTAGTTAAGGAATCGCTTATTATCAAGCTTAGCAAATTTATAACACTATTCCCATCACTAGTTATTTTGAGGCCTGTACTACTAAAATTTTAACCTATGTCTTAAGTAGAAACTGATTAACCCAAGTAATGCAGCTTTGATTTTCAGCATTGGTTGTTTTGCTATTTTTACAAAAGAGCACTGATTGAAGCAAGTCTTGGTTTTACTAAGGTAGGGTAGCATTTGCTATTGTTAAAGAAAATAAATACACTTAATTCCATGATACATTGTCATATGTACCCCAGTTGTTGTTAGTGGGGACTAGGATACTGTAATGATATTTTAAAAATTTACATCCCAAGAGGCAGTCATTCATGATGGTTTTGTGCCAGCTGTTTTTAGGGTTTTGGATCACATTATAGATATTTACAACTGTTACCCTGTGACTTACGTAGGAAACCTAATATGCTGAGTATCTGGCACTTGAAATCCTGCTTTTATTGCTGGAGGTCCACATCTGTGGTTCACCTCTGTTGTTGTTTTAAAAAAATAAATAAAAATAAAAAAAATCTGTGCAATAATTTTTAAATGTGCTCCCAGGAATAGACACAAATGTTTTGAGTATGTTTAAGCTGCATTTTCCTTTAGTGATGCATTTGTCAATTGCACTGAATTTAAACCTGAAAGTCAGAGGTGATTATGATAGTACTTTTGTATTTTGATATGGACAATTTATTCATTTGCATACAGTTATTGACTTTTCCCCAGCTGATTAAAAGATAGTCAAGAAGTTCTGCAGTATAGCTGCCAAAATAGACAGCTACATTTTTATGGTATTGTCATCTTTTCTGTTTTGTTTTGTTGTTGTTGTTTGTTTTTTTAATTTTTAGCTATTTTACTTAAGCGTAGTAGCCACAATAGGACATATGAAAGATTATAAATACAGAGCTTTATTATCCTGATGTCTTGGGTCTTTTAAGTGTAAACTTTATCTGGAAGGTATCCATTCTGTAGGCCTGGGTTCTTTGCGAGCATATAGTTGTTTGTTTTTGCTGCTGTTCTCAACATCCTCATTGCCTGCTGATGTGCCACGATGCTGCTCCAACAGATAACACCCAGATTGCCTCTGATCTGGGCAGTAACATGATTGTAGGAGGCCGGATTCCACAGCCCATAAAGTTTTATATTTGAGGTTCTTGCTCATTTTTCCTGTTAGTTTTTTCTGAGGACGTATTCCTGAAGTTCAGCTGATTCCAGTAGATTATCTGTGGTATTCATTATATATCATTGTTGTGTAGGTAATAAACTTACCATAGAGAAAAATAGAAAGGAAAACTTGAATGAATAGAATACTCACTTACTAAAATAGAATTAAAGAGCAGCTGTCACCCTTAAACATCATAAAGGAAATCTTTTTTCTTCTTCATGTTGGAAATCCCATTAGGTCCTATATTTGTTCCAGTGCCCATTCCCTGTTGTTGATCAGGTACCATCATGGACTTTCAAATGAGTTTTAGAAATGATAGTGTTTAATTTCCTACTAGGTCTTAGAGTGTGTTGAATTCTCTTTTAATTAATTATTCCTAAGTAAGTATATTTTAGGATTAAACACCTTTTACAGATACTGAAAGTGCCTCCTTTTGTGGTGTAAAAAACAAATTATGGTGCAAAAGTAATCATGAGATTGAATTACCTGAAGGTTTTTGTTTTGTTTTGTTTTGCTTTTTGACATATAAAAATGTCAAGAGAAAGGCCAAAGATTTGTACATTTTCACTTAACTTATAAAGCACTCCTTTTTTTCCTTAAACTTCTTTCTGTCAAATTAGATTTAATGAGAGAGTACTATTTTTAAGGAGCTGTTTATGTAGAATGATTTCGTTGAGAGTAATGTAAACTATTGAATAGAGGCCTAATGAGGAGTATGCATTTTTGCTACTTAAAGGAATCACAAATGACCATCTTTATGAGAGCAAAATGTTTTACTAGAGAAGCAGAAAAATAAATTTCAAATGCAGTGCTATTTATTCTTCTCAAAACAATTTTCATTTTCTTAAGCACATTGTACACGTCTATAGAACCTGCATTTATTCTTACATGCTAAGGATGGTACTTGGATTTGGTGAATTACTGTCGACAAGTTTCCACAGAAGTCCTGTTTCAGTGGACCGACATTGTGGCATGGCAGCAAATGCCAACATTTTGGGGAATAGCAGCAAATCTACAAGAGACCCTGGTTGGTTTGTGGGCTTATTTTTTTTTTTTTTCCCTTCTGAATCAGCAGGGAGGGAAAGAGGGTAGGAAGGTTATGAATTATTACTCCTTCCGGTAGTAGCTCTGAAGTGTCACATCCAATATCCGTTTGTTTGTTTCTTTTTTTAACATGACTCTAGTTAATGTAGAAGAGAGAGAGAAAAGAGGAAGTGTTCACTTTTTTTAATACACTGATTTAGAAATTTGATGTCTTATATCTGTAGTTCTGAAGTATTAATAGCATTCTTTATTTCTGCCTTTATGTTGACAGTGTTGAAGCAGGGTGAATAACTGAGGCTTTTTTTTTTTCCTAGTAATCTATTTCATGATGTTTTCTTTGGAGTTTCTGGATAAGTTCAAAAAAAACATTCTGCATGTTGTATCTAGTCTGATGTACTTACCCATCTCATTAAAAACAAAAACCACAGACTGCATTTTGTAGCTGTGTAATCCCTAAATGCAGAAGTAATTTTCTTCTATCCTGACTTTGACATTGTAGCTATAATGTTCTAATTCTGATTTTTACAAATCCTTTGGGTCTAATTCTGTGAGCCTACCTATAGCACTGGATTAAAATGTCTGCATCATTTCTTTAGTTATCCCGTTAACTTTAAAACTGTTGTAAAAGTGTAAACCAGCCCATGACAGTTTTTTGTACATGTTAAAGAACTTTATTGTTCAGTTTCCATGATTATTGTGTAAGGAAGACTGATTATAGATGTTCTATGCTGTCCTGGACCATGTTAATTACACTCACAATGTATTTTGGTTCCACATCACAATGATTTGTCCCCTGTGACCCTTTATCCTTTCTAGGCACATTTTTTGTTGTTGTTGCAGTTCCCCTTCGCATTGTATTGCTTTGACAACTGTAATTTGAATCAGATCCGAAAGAGGTCCAGAATAAAATATATTTTGATATTATGTTGGCTGTGTACATATATAAAATCTTTGATATCTATGTAGTTTGTATAGACTATTTAGTCAAGTAAAGAGAGAGGGATGCTATTTCTTGTTTACAATTTCCTGTTTACATTTTAATTGCATTTACTCCTCCAATGTTCTATTACAGAATAAACTTTTTTGCTCTGAGATAGTCTTCAAAACACATAACCTGTCTGTTCTCTCCCATGCTGGTGTTACCGATTATAACAACTGCCATAAGAACCCAACCCACTGTTTTCATAAATAGAAAATATGGAATATATCTTGTTTTCCAAGATATATTCATTACAGTAAGCCCATAGATAAAATACAAATTTTACTATTTTATTACTTCTCGCTGGAGATAAGATTTTTTAAATGAAGGGATTGTTTACTATTTTTATTAAAGAAAAATAGAGCATTTAATCAGCTAAGGAAAAATACATACGTTTGAATTATTTTGAAAAATAATTACTGTACTTAAAGGACATTGGTTCACATAAAGTAAAATAGACCTCATTCATTTGCTTAGCATGCAGTTGAGCACAAAACAGTATGTTGTTGAAGATTTTTAGGGCAGGATGCTCAACTCTCTTAATGATATTTTTTCTGCATATAAACCTATTAACTAATAATTTTTCTCCTTAAGTAGTTGCTTATCTTGCAAAAAAGAACCTTATAATCTATTAGGAAAGATAACTAGGCACCGTCCAGTTTTAATTAATCCCAACTCCTTTAGAGTTAGAGACTTTTTAAAAAGAATCATTGTTCATATTTTTGTTTTTGTTTTGTTTTATAAAAACTTGTATTCTCCAGGTCTTTTACCTTTCCCTTCTATTTCCTTAAGCAGAAACTAATACAGGCATAACCTTGACATGTTTTACTAAATGATAAGCTACTGCAATTGCTAGAACTTTCCGACAGCCTTTCATTTTAGAGGGTTGACTTTTATTGCATGGCATAGATTGTTAATATTCTGCATTTTACACTTTTTCAAGAGTGTTGGTCTACTAAAGATTATAATCCACAGAAGCTTGAGGTAAAGCCGAAATCAATTGGAGTAGTCACAGAAGGGGTTGTTTTTAATTCCATAGTTCTTATACTTTATACAATAGGTCAGATTTCTTACCTATGAAAATACAAAGCAGATCAGGTTAAAGTTTGCTGTTTCCTCAATATATTCCTTTGCAAACGCAGTGGAGGAAAAGACACTATGGACAGTAGTTTTATGGTGCTTTTTCTCTGCTGTACCAGAGCGCTCTGTCAACAATGAAATGTTAACCCTATGCGACTTTTTCTGCATGTTTCTTCTCAAATGTCATATCTCAATGCTATTTGTCCTAACTTGTAATATTTTTGTATTAAATTTTTTAGGAGTTCCTTGTAATTTCTTTATAATTTAAAATATATTAAACACAAAGTGTTTAGTAAAGTACAGAAGACAATTATTAATGTTTCTTGGTTGTTGGGTTTGTATGATCAGTTGTGCAAACAATTCACATTTTAAGAACTAGCACCAGTGGGGTGGAATCTACAAAGAAAAAGATCCCACAGTTCTTTTTTTGTTTTTAAAAAGTATAATGGGCACTGTCAGACATATCAAAAGCATAGGTTGGAGGGTACTGGGCAGGACTACTTTGCATTCAGTGCTGGAATGGATACCTCAAATGGTGAAACTCTTGCATTACAAATCCAGTCTCACTGAACTCAATCTGATGTCAGACATTTGAAAACATCAGCCTCCAGAATCTCACGTGTTCAAATCGGGGTTTTGAAAAAGTCCACACAATTGTCCAGTGCTTTTCCATATAAGCTTTTATTGACTGAATTTACATACAGGGAAAGATGTTTTAAAAGTGAAAGGAACTCGGCACACGAACTCCTTGACTCTAGGTTAATTATCTGGTTTTCCAACGTGGGTGCCTGGTGAGCAGTATCGCCCGCCCCTGTAGAGCACAGGCCGGAGCGCAAGCCCGCAGCAGAAGTGGAGAGCTGCACGTGTGGCATGGATCTCACAACGGAGGCCTGCGGTCGCCACATACTTCAAATTGAGTTTAACATAAAACGGTAGCTATGTAATTTGTTTTTAGATGTTTTCAGTGAAGTGGTTGACATATTTTAGCATACAGAAATAAACTTAAGCTTGAAGTTGGATGAGTGTGTTAAACTAGCCTTAGATAAAACAAGACTAAATGAGAGGTAAGTAAATTTTACTCTTATAGCAATGTTGATTAACCTAGAGTCCCTTAAAACCCTTTTTAAAATAAGACACCTGGCCCTGCCCTTAAGCTGCTGGCTAATAAGATAGTACTAGTATGTGTGCTGTTTTTCGGGGGGTTTTTTTTTTTCATGCTTGTTCATATGCCTTCGATGGAGGGGGCGGGAAAGGAAGGGGTTGTGTAATTCACATACTGTATATATAAAGTGCGTGCTTGTAAAGAAATTGAAAAATAATAAATTTCCATTTCCAAGCTCCCTACCAATTCCTCCTCAGTGGTAACCACTGTTAAAATACTGTGGGATCTGTCCTTCCAGACATTTTTAATATGTTTGAAAAATGGGATTGTAATACTCATTGATTTCAGAAACACTTTTTCACTGAAATTGTCAAAGGCTTTTGTCCTATAAGAACATACTTAAGTACTTCTCTGTACCATAGAAGCTGAGAGCATGATTTCTGCCTGACTGCCTGGGATGAGTCCCAATTCCATTACTTACTAGCGATTTGGCCAAAGGAATTACTGTTCTGGGTTCCCTATCTGTAAAATGGGACTACTGGTATGAGGTAGGAGGATTAAAATTGTTAACATACAAGGTGGGGCAAAAGTAGGTTTGCAGTTGTGAGTACATGAAAAAGTTTGTTCTTGTGTTATTATGTAGTAGTGTATTATTTTCCATATGAACAGCTGTAAACCTCCTTTACTTTTGCTACACCCAATATTTAAAGCCCTTAGGGAATAGTGCCTAGTTGTATAAAGCACGCTATATGCAACCATTTTGATTTTTAATGGTTGTGTTGTATTACACACATTAGCCTCTGTACTGCATATTTACTTAATCATTGTCTCCTATCATAAACAGTGATGTGGTAAACACAGTGGTGTAGTTGTAGGGCAGACTCAACAGTCGATTCTGATGTGCATGCTTGGTGAACAGGCATCGTGAAAGACTTGTAACTAACCCATTTTCTGGCATTAAGTGAATGTGTTCCTTCAAAAGGGAATCATTCAGGAATTTGTAGAGGGAGATTTCTTTGGGAAAATGCTTTGTGTATTTATTCCACGTGCAAATAGAAATGAGAATAATTTAATAAATGACAACCATTTTGCAGAAGTTAGCAGAAAACAGTTAGGTTTAAGCCTGTGTTACTAGTCACTAAATGTTAAGGATATGGTTAAGTTTTGGTAAACATGGAAGAAAATATTCCCACCACAGAGCACAATATATAGGTTATATTCAGTTAATACTTAACGGCATGTACTGGAAGCTAAATTTCTAGTACATGTGCAAATGAATGGCAGACATTCATTCTTTTAGGACTTTTTTAATGCTATTCTTTTATACATTTTACCTTCCCAAATCTTGGTTCCTCTTTTATTTCTTCAGCAAATACTTATTTGTTGAACATCTAGTGTGTCCCAGGAGGTGTATTTGCCAGCTTAGGTAGACTTCCTGAGAGAGGTGAGAAGCCGGCCGCAATGAGAGGGCCTGTCAGATGGGCTATGGCTAGGGTTGCTCAGGTTTGTCACTGAGAGTTTGTGGTGATGCCTAGGGATGGGGGGCCGTGGAACAGTGGCCGTCAGGGGACTGGGGTGTTCTGATTGGTCACTGTGAATAGAAGTGGCTGAGGAAACTTTGTTGTCTGCATTCAATCACATTGTCATCTAGCCACCCTGAAATACCTGTACCTCCTGACAGGTTTTTCTCCCCTTTATTCTTCCTGCAGTGCTTTCTTCCCTCCCTCATTTGCTTAATTCTTAATTGCTAGACTCAGTCAAGTCAAGGGCTTCTGGGAAGGCAGGCCACCCACTGACCCACTCACTGCCCACTTCTTTCTGCCCCTGGGTTAGGTGCCCCTTGCCCCTCGCAGCGCCTAGACATAGTTCCAGTTGCAGAATTGTGTCCTGTCTGCTCTGATACTATTCGATGGAGTTCCTGAAGGGCAAAACCTGTATTTCCTATGAATGTGAGCTTGAATGGCTGCTTTACATCTGAGCATCAAGTTCTTGTCTGTAGGAAATAACCTTGCTTTTGAGGTTTTAAGGATTAGTAGTCATAATCTAGCCCAATAACTAGCATAATTAGGCTTTCATACTTGGCATGGTTATTATTGTTACTGCTTTTACTGTTATAAACATGCCAGAGAAAACATTTGTTTCACAGGATAATTTGTTGAAAATGGTGGGTTGTAATTAGAGGTACAAAGCACTACTGTTTTGGGCATGAATGTGTAAGTGTTTATGATGGGACATCTTAACATGTGTCATTGTTTTCTGCATGCAGCCTAGTGGGATGACGAGGACCAGGGTCATCCGTTCCTGTGCTACGTTATCTGTGTTTTTCGGTGTCTTTTCCTCAGTCTCTACCACATTTTATTTTTTGCCTTGTCAGGAATTGGAAAGAAAATGCACTTTTAAAAGCAACTCTGTGCCAAGCATCCATTTTGTAATCTATTATTTATAGAAAAACATCAGAAACTGCATCGATATTAAGAACTAAGATTCTGAAGGTATAGTGTTTCACGCTTCGCTCTTTTGGCTTTGATTTCAATTATCTCACTTAGACTTCAATTTTGAGACATTAATCAAGGTCAGAATAGCCCTCTGCTTTTGTGGGTGTTCAGTCAAACAGTTGTCTTCAGGCACAGACGTTTTGTTCTGTGAAATTTTTTTCCCCTTATGCTAGTAATACGTGCTAATTTTATAAATGTTTGAAGTAAAAACGTATAAATAAAGAGAAATCACAGGTGTAAGTTTTATCTAATTTTGAGCAGATTCTTGGGTGCTGCTTATCATGGGCCTCGGCCATTTCTGGGGTCCTGCAAGCGTGAGCAAGAAAGAACAGAGGTCCCCTCAGGTCACTAAGACAGTGGAGTCGTCTGTCGCGGTGGCTCGCTCACGCTCCACCCCCTCAGCTGGCCCACCTGCACGTTCCCTTCTAGTGCCTCTGTTCATTACATAACACTCACACTAACTCAGTCATGAACAAAACCAGTCGGGTTTGTTTTTAAAGGGGATTATGCTCTACTTGTTTTTGTGTGACTTGATTTCGTTTCTCTTAATATAGTAAAGCAACTATGTCCTGCTTTAAGAAAAAAAACTTAGTATTGAGCTCTAATGGACATAGAAGTTTGTGTTTTTACCTATGTATACAACTGTGAAACAGTCGCAAAGTGAACCTCTCAGGCTTTCTCTCTCTCCTTGAGTGTCCCTCTCTCCTCGTCTCCCTCCCCTGCTCCTCTCAGACAGCCACCTGTTTTCTCTCTGTCTATAAATTGTATACATTTTCTAGAATTTTCTTAAAATGGAATTGTTCTTTTTTGGTGGGGGGGTAGAGTCTAGCCTCTTTCAGCATAATTACTTGGAGAGTCGTCCATGTCTTATAAATAGTTCATTTTTTATTGTTTAGTGGTATTCTGTTGTATGGATAATACTATAAATTATTTAACCAATAACCTGTTGATGAACATTTAGGTTCTTCCACTACTTGGTGGTTACTATTGGAATAATGCACAGACTTTTTTGTGTCTAAGACATGCTTTCATTTCTCTTGGGTAAATAATGAC